AGGCCTGATTGTGTTTATGAGAGAAGATTTTAAATTATCAAAGATGATAATTAAAGGCTCGAAAATATTCCTCCAGTTTTAAAAATTCTGCGAGGAAATGAAGGCAAAAGTTGATTAGTGAAATGAAACGAGTTGCCAGATATAGCTGACCAACGTTGATCTGTTGGTAATACGACGAAGCGAAGAGCAGGCGTCTGGTCCATGGGCTGTTCTCGGCCCACTAAATAAGAATTATATAGTACTTTCATACCGAAGTGTACTTAGATATTCTCAGCTCAGCTAAGAAAAAAATAAGGTTAGTTCCATACCGAAACGCCTTTTGGTATTCTTCGCTCCGCAAAAAACTGGTGGTTGCGTACTATCGTGCCTTTAGGTATACTCAGCTTAGCTAGAAAAAAAGGTTAGCTTCATACTGACGTGCCTTTTGATATACTCAGTTTAGCTAGGAAAAAATTGGTCGTTTCGTACTGACGTGCCTTTTGGTATACTCAGCTTTGCTAGAAAAAAAGGTTAGCTTCATACTGACGTGCCTTTAGGTATACTCAGCTTAGCTAGGAAAAAATTGGTCGTTTCGTACTGACGTGCCTTTTGGTATACTCAGCTTTGCTAGAAAAAAAGGTTAGCTTCATACTGACGTGCCTTTAGGTATACTCAGCTTAGCTAGGAAAAAATTGGTCGTTTCGTACTGACGTGCCTTTTGGTATACTCAGCTTTGCTAGAAAAAAAACCGGTCCGTTTCATACTGAGGTGCCTTTTCGTATACTCTGCTTAGCTAAAAAAATAACTGGTCGTTTCGTACTGACGTGCCTTTTGGTATACTCAGCTTAGCTAGAAAAAAACTGGTAGTTTCGTACTGACGTGCCTTTTGGTATATTTAACTTAGCTAGAAAAAAATTGGTTGTTTCATACTGACGTTGCTTTTTGTATTCTCAGCTTAGCTAGGAAAAAAACGGCTCGTTTCATACTGACGTGATTTTTGGTATACTCAATTTAGCTGAAAAAAACGGGTCGTTTCATACGGAAGTGCCCTAAGATATTCATCCAAATACTACTAACTGGTCATAGGTTCATTATGCTTTATCGATCTTTGTATCGATATTCGGCCAAGAAATGGTTTTATTTCTGTATCCAGTTTAGAGATTATTGTCTGTAAATGATATTATTTTTGCTTGCGTGACTAGACGTTGTGTTGGAGTTCCTGAAGGAGACTTCGTCCATGACATTTACCGTCCAGAGCTTCCTGCAACTCTCGCTCCCTTGCCGTTTTTATGAGCACTCGCTTGGTACCTACGATGTATTCTATGATATATCATTGGTTCGTGATCTGTCGGACATCTTCTTATCTTCTTGATAAATAATACCAGTCTCTTGTTTTATCTTCACCATGTGTATAATTTTCCTACCCTATTATCGTCTTAATCTTCGCTTAGGCTTCAAAAATTTCACTTCTGTACACCATGCATGCGGTGTGCATGAATAATTGTACTTCAGTACACCATGCATGCGGTGTGCCTGAGGAGAATATTACCGAACTTCTGATTTATTCACTTCGACTGAGACAAGAATTTTAAATTGAAGGTTCGTGCAAATCTTGCCTCGTAATGTGGATACTAAAGCAGATATGGTAATGAGTGATTGCAAATCACAAAATTGCAATCAGTTATGTTAACGAACTCATTTTATTTCACTCTGTTCGCTGTCATCAATCACGTAAAATTGAGAAGCGTTCGCTAGTGAGGCTAGCTACGCTTGTCACCTCTACTATTGCTGGCATGTGGACGTCATGGATGCTTGCTCGGCAGCTTCGAGCGTCGATGTCTCGTCGTGCAGCTCCAGCCCTGTGTATAGACAGACGG